GCAGTTTTATAAATCTGAAGCTGTCTCCGGGTGTCACCGGATTTATGGACAAGGGGGCTCTGCCATAAAGTGGTTTATGATGGCTGCCTTCTGTGTTATTAGTAGCTGTCTCTTCCTTCAACCATTGCTGTTTGATAATAGCCTTAAAACACCCAGAATTACTTACCTGCAAGTCCCATTCCCGATAGCCCCTGTTGACAGTCTGAATAAGTTTACTGGCCTTTTGTTGTTCTTTTCCTTCAAAACAAACTGATTGGACCATCAATAGCTCCCGTGAGCCGACAGAGGGATGTCATCTGCACTAGCCCTTGTGATTGCAGGTTATCTGGGGGAGTTAACCTCCCTGCATTGTTAGCTGAGATGTTTTATGTACTAAGCAACTTTAGGATACGGCTGTGATAACCCCAGTAACTAAGTCATACATCACGGTAAGGAGATTTGGGTGTAACAAATAACCCTGGATTAAATTTACAAGGGTGGAATTGATATTGTAAAAGCCTTCATTCTGTGGCTTCGGCAATCTGCGCCTGTGTTTTTATGGCAAACTTGTATTATACTCAGGATTGAAGCTGCAGCTTGTGACACTTTGACACGACCTAGAACAAAGGGAAATAGATCTCCTAAGACCAGCACAGGACAGGCAGGCTGGACGCCCACCAGCTTATCACTTGGCAGGACTGCTGCAGCCTATTTTAAGTCGTCAGGGGGCAGGAGGACCTGGGGAATGTGGCTGTTAGCTGGGCTTTGTGTAGCACAGGTAGACTGTTGACTGAACTGGGAAGGAGACTCCTGGCTGCCTCATTGCGCTCATAATTTCCCAACTATTAGTCCTTGTGGTGTTGTTTTCACGAGGACATTGGTTCTCAGCAGGATGGCAGCAGTGGCAGCATCACCTGGGAACTTATTAGAAACATAAATTCCAGGCCTCGGTCCAGCTCGCCTCGATAAGAAGCTCTAGGGCTGGGGCCTGCATCTGTGCTTTAACAAGCCCGTGGGTCACGAGGATGCCTGCTAAAGTCAAGAACCACTGTGCTAGAAGGTAAACGCTATGCTAGAGCGCAGGTCAGATGGAGAGCAGAAGTTGTTTTCTGTGTTTCCTTGCCTTCTCAGCACCCTGCTTAGCTCCTTCATTTAACTGAAGCTTAAATCTTCGGTCTTGTTTCTGTGTCTCTGTGTATGTGTGAGTATTTGCTACATGTGATGAGTACCCACTGAGGTGCGCTTGAGGGTGTCAGGTCGTCTAGAGCTACAGTCACAGTTGTTAGGAGCCGCCTGCTATGGATCCTAGTAACTGCACTTGCTCTTCTAGAAGAGCACAAAGTGCCCTTAACTGCAGAGTTATATCTCTAGTCCCGTTTAATTTTTTTTTAAAGTATGTCATTTATTATTAGCGTGTGTATGTATGTATATATGCGTGTTTGACATGTGTTGGGGATGCTTGCTTACCACAGATCACATGTGGGGTCACAAGATGACTCGGGTATCATTTCCTTCCTTTTGCTGTGGGCCACAGGGATCAGACTCAAAATGAGCAACATCTCACAGACCCCTTGGGATAAAGATACTCTTCCAAAGAGTCACCTGTGCCCTTCCCTTCGGCTATCAGCCTGTAGGTTACAAGAAATTTGGAATTTCCTTCAGAATCTCATGCTAGAAGAAGGAAAAGCCTGGAAACCTGGTGCCAACCAGAGGGAGCTTGTCTCTCTGAAAGAGAGTTACAGCTGGTCAGTTTCTGCTGCAGGAGCCACCTGAGCTGAGACAAGTGGAGAAAAGCAGAACTCTTCCTTGAACAGAATGCTTAGCTGTGCATACCTCTGGCTTTCCATTTAAAACTAAATATCATCTTAGGACCATAAAGATGGACTCGGGAATCACTGGACCTCCTTGTTCCTGTTCCCTATTGGCCACATTGAGTGCGTCTCTTTTTTCTCCTTTTCACTATTAATTTGTCTCTTTAATTGATCTATTGGGGATGGGTAGCCTATGTTGGTTTGTTATCCTGCCAGTGTCCCTACTCTGATCCTAATGGGTTGGAAACCATCCTCTCTGGGAACACTCAGTGGCCCTTAGGATGGAAGTGAAGTCACTTAGAGGTGATTGGCAGACTGTGTCATAGGCTGTCTCTCCGACTATCAGAAGAATGTCTGAAAACAGCAGCTCTTTGTCATCTAAAATTTTTAACTAGCTTAAAAGCCAGCACCTCTCTGTCTTCCTCCTTTGATTTCAGAGCTGTGATCCAAAGTGAGGCGAAATGACAATGCGCGGTCTGTTGTCATCGTGGTTCCTGGCAGCCCCATGAAGGCATCTTTCACTCCATCATTAAACACCGGCTGATTTTCTAATACTGATGTTGTCCTCACCTGAATATTCATCTTTTCCCACCCTACACTTAGTGGGTGTCTCTACTCCTTTGAGCGTCACTCCTGACATATTGTTTCTGTCTGTACATGTCTTTATTTGAAAGAATCTGTTGTCATTAAGACTTTGCCAGTATAAGCAGGAGATGGAAGTTTTCTCTGACAGTCTGAGACCGATGGGAATTCTGCTAAAGGGTAGAAAGAACATTTGAGCCCTTTGCCTCGTTTTGGATGAGATCAGAGGTGTTGGGAGGGGTTAGGGAGGGGATTGGGGAGAAAAGGAAAGGGGTAATAGATTGAAGTCATGAAGAAAGCAATAGAGAGGTGAGAAGGAGGGAGGGAGAGAGAGAGAGAGAGAGAGAGAGAGAGAGAGAGAGAGACAGAGAGACAGAGAGAGACAGAGAGAGAGAGAGAGGAAGAAGGAGGAGGATGAGGAAATGAGAGTGGGACAGAGGGAGGGAGAGAGAAAGAGAGTGTGTGAAGGAGGAAGAAAGAGAGGGACAGAGGAAGGGAGGGAGGGAGGGAGAGAGAGAGAGAGAGAGAGAGAGAGAGAGAGAGAGAAGGACCTTTAGTCTTGGAATGGACTGTAAAGGAATTTCTGATGACCTACCGACCTGAGTTTCATCCCTGGGACTGTGATGGTGTACATCTCTAATCCCAATCACTCCCATAGGGGGATGCAAGGCAAAGACAGGAGCCCAAAAGCTCTGGGCCAGTTAAACTATAGTACAAAGCACTGCAAAATCAGAAGAGAGCCCCTACATCAATAAAATCAAAGGAGAGAACTGGTTCTGGAATATTGGCTTTTGACCTATGCCCAGTACCCAGATGCTTGCTTACTTACATGAAATAATAAATTAATTCATAAGTGAATTAATTCAAGTTAATTTCAAAATAATTTTAATATGTTTTGATTTTAAGAGTCTGGGTGTGGGGTATGTCTTTAAACTGCTGTCTCTTGAGTGATATCCAGGTCTTTTATCTGAATAAACTTATAAAGGTCACTTGGTGACTTGAAATTACCTTATGGATGTGGAAGGAGGCTCTAGGAATCCAAGGTTCTAGTGGAGAGGGAGGCGCAGTGCATGCCCAAGTAATATCTACACTAATAAAATTTTAATTGGGTTGCTTTTGAATGTGGTTCTATGAAACCTGTTTGAGATAGCATATTCTTCCTTTTTCATTTAGTTTTTGAGTGTTTTCTGTTTTCCCATAATGACCCCATCCATAACTTAGCCTTATGGGTTTCTAGTTGGTAAGAACTATAGTAAGAACTCCTTTGAGAGCGGTGAGGTATCATAATCATTTCTATGTCCCTAGGGCCTAGCAGATAATAGGTACTCAAGAAATGTTTGTGCAGCTGAAATGAATGGATAGGCTATTGAATTCATTCTTGACTTAGTTTCCAAGATATAATGAAAGTAAACCTTTGAGAAGGTTGATGTTTAGGTAAGGATATTCATTACTTGAATAACAAGGAAATATCTAGAAATTGATAGCATGTTAGTGTATTCTAGGAGAGTTAGAATGAAGACAGCACTGAGGCTTAGAGGTGAGAAGTGTTTGGATTTGGGATTTGGAAGACAAGAGGATTCTGAAGAGGTGGGTGCAGGAAGTGATAGGTTTCTTTAGAGATTGTCCATTGTTCTTGACATTGGGTGTTCACTTTTCCTTCTAAAACAGAAGAGAACCTGAACAAGTGCTCATGTGATAGAGATAGAGTGTGGTGTTGATGGGAAGCAAGAAAGTAGAGACAAGTGTCTATATGTTTATACACTTATAAACATATACCCTGGCCAAGGGCATCTTCTTGTCAATACCCTTTACACACATCCATTTGAGAGCAATTCATCACACATATAGCCATTGGCTTATCCTTGGTGGTCTATCAGGGGTACTAATGATTCTTTATAAGGGAACAGAGGCCACCCTGTATTTTCTGGATATTAAGATACCCTAGAAATTTTCTCTGCTTCCTGTTTGTCCTTGATAAAGATCATCTCTGTACTGCATAGTGAAACATCTCTGTACTGCATAGTGAAAATCACCCAGAAATGATGACAGAAAGTACTGAAAACGGTCTTGAGTCATCTGTGAAGCAGTTTTCAGCTATGGGCATGCCCTACTTCTACCCCAAAGCCATCCAGCTTATTAGGTCTCATTTAAGGTCCTATCTGGGAAATTCTGGCCTCCAGCCTCAGCTCCAATTTGCAGATCTATTGTATCAATAATGAGAGTGATACACATGTTTCCTATTAATGGCAGATGCATATATGGTACAACCGATCAAGGTTTATGTTACTCTTACTGGGAACTTTCCCTGTTGAAGTGGGGCTTATTTCTCAGGATTGAAGAAAGGAATACATTGTCATGTTCCTGCTAGTAGGCTAGTTCTAATGAGTTGTGCATCCATGCTTGGGCCAAGCACAATTTTTACTCAAGTTTGGTTGTATGTCAGTATAAAGTACAGAACCCTTCAAATTTCCCCAAAAGAAGAAAATCTGTGGGGGAGAGGTAGGAAGATAGTGGCTAAGATCTAAATCTTTAGAGCCTTGCATAGACTCGCAAGGTTCAGTCACATTACCCACATCCCTGAGGCTGTCACTCCAACCTTCTTGAATTGTTTCTGCCTTGTTCTCCCAGGTGTTTTGTTCTGCACAAGTTGCCCAATTTGAAGTTTCTGGATGCCCAGAAAGTCACCAGACAAGAACGGGAGGAGGCATTGGTGAGAGGGGCCTTCATGAAAGTGGTGAAGCCCAAGGTGAGCTGCTCTTGTCCACTTTTCTTCCTCTATTAATTGCTCTGAGGAGCATGGGTAATGTCTTCCTGTGCATTTCGCATGCAGTTGTGACTACACACCAGGGGTCACTCACAGATGCCGAGCTGACCAGTCATGCAGTTGGCTGGATGTAATTTGAGTCTTCCTGTCACTTTATCTGAAGAGACATTATTTGTTAGACACTGTGGTTATTTAAATAAGAGTGGCTCCCATAGACTCATGTCTTTGAATACTGGTCTCCATGTGGTAGAACTGTTTGGGAAGGATTAGGAAGTGTGGCCTTAGTGACAGAATATGTGACTGGGACTGTGGGCTTTTCACCATTTCCAGTTATGTGGATCAGAAAGTAAGCACTCAGCTGTTGCCCACTGCCATGCCTACCTGATTGCAGCCATGCTCCCTGGCATGGTTGTCATGGACTCACCTTCTGAAACTCTAAGCCTGCAGAAATCAGTTTCTTCGGTAATTTCCCTTGGCTGTGGCATCTTAGCAGAGCAATGGGATGGTAATGGAGATGGATGGAAATGTGGAAAAAGCTCTGTCAAGGTCTAGTGGTGGTTTTTAGGCCTCCTCAGTGCTTTCTTCTCAGCAGTTCTATGGCTGACAAAGAATACTCTGGGAATTTTGTGTTTATGGGGTGGTTACAATCCCTTTTGTCCTTTGGAGGGAGCTCTTATTTCTTGCTACTAAAATGGGGTAATTTCCTTCTATCAGAGATGAAGGGTGTTCCACTCCCCTGAGGAACCCTTATCACAGTAGGTAGTGTTTTCTGGCTGTGTGTGTGTGTGTGTGTGTGTGTGTGTGTGTGTGTGTGTGTTGGGATGCTGCATGCTCTCTACATACAGGGTTTATTGAGAGAGTTCATTTGGAGTCCTGGATTCAGACACAAGGAAGTTCGAAGGGTATTCACAGTAGTCTTTCTGAGAGACATCTGGACCCTTCTGAGAAGTCTGTGCCTGGCAAGTAGATTCCATGACCCTGATGACAACACCTTCCTAGAAACTTCACTGCCCTGGAGCACCATGCAGCTCCTTAATTACCACACATGAAATTGTAGCTCTGTGTTAAAAATGCTGGCACAGGAATCCTGAAGGCCTAGTTTGTCCTCAGCCGGTGACTTATAGCCCTCTATACATGCATTGGAAGTGATTAAGCTGGGAAGCAAAGCCAAACAGCGCCAAAACAGAGCAGAACAATGAGAGCTCGTCCATCAAGCTATGCTGTTGGCAGCAGAGATCGGGCCACTTCTTGCCCTGAATCCATGAGGTGCGACTGATTTCCTGTTATGCTGAATGAAATTGCTAACAGTTGTGGAAATATATGATATGGAGAGTATAATTCTGGCAGATAAATGTATTGTTACCTGTTTCAGCATGTGGAGAATTAATTGAGTGATTCATTTCATAGCTATTAAAGTGTTAACAGTTCTCCTTATTGGAGCATCGGCCTGACATAGTGCACATGACTGCCTTTAGTTATTCCAGCTTTTGCCATTTTGTCCAAATGAAAGAATTTATCTCTTGGCTTCTTTTCTTTCTCCCTTCTTTCCTTTCTCCCTTTTTCTCCTCTTTCCTTAGGATATCAGAGTCAGCAGCATCACCAACCTCCACCAATGCAGCAGAGGAAGTCTTTGTGATCACTGGGCTCAGATCCTGGCCCTCCTGTCTTTCTCACCCCCACGCCTACACTGCACTGAGCAGATCTCTTATTCTTTTTTTCCTCATTTGCTTTGGGACTGGAAGCTGTAACACTGCCCATGGAAATCTGATGAAGTCCTAACTAGCTGGCCTTGCACTGGGATGTTGTATTCTACATGTGCCTGACTCTCCCAAGGTTCCATGTCTCAGAACCCTGACACATGGAAGAAAGGACCACTGACTCAGAGCAGTTCGTGGGGTTGCCCCAAGGGCACCATCATGAATTCCTGAGCTGGAATTTTACCCTTATGGGGCCTGGTCTCTTCTTACTCTGCTGTTTTAGCCTTGGAGAGAGAGAGAGAGAGAGAGAGAGAGAGAGAGAGAGAGAGAGAGAGATCAGTATTTTCCCCTGGGGTTGTTTTGGCAAACAGGAAAGTTCCCAGGAGAGCCTGAAGAAGGAAGACAAGTAGGGATGGACTGTTTTGCTGTGTGGAGATAAGGGAGAGCTGGAATCCCTCTTCTTTGAGCATGATGGGGAAGGAAGCTGTCTGAGTCGTTAGCGACAACAGCGGTGGTGCTCTTTAGAGTTCTCAGTTAGCTTCCAATCAATTATAGAATCAGCACATGTTTGTGTGATTGACTCTAATGCCCTGACTAACTGTATTACACTTAAAAATGCCCATTAATTATTTCAGGGGAGACACAAAAATACCCTTGGCAAAGCAACATGGGGATCTTGCCTTCTCTTTCCCAGCTAGAGAGGACCTCAGAAACCCCTCTGGGAGAGTGGCAGAAGCTGAAGGTCCTGAAGAGGCCTGCGGTTGTGGGGATTCTGGCGAAGTGCGTTGTGTGATGATCTTTCAAGATTCAAAGATGATCCCACGCTATTACTGGTTTTCATATTGCACATGTCTGATGAATGGCAGGCAATTCGCTTTTGTCTGTTATTTTCTGAGACATGCAGTGGTGTTTTTCCTGCAGATAGAAGAAAGCCAAATGAGTTCTTTGCTGAATTAATAAACTGGCATTCAGAAGGCTGCTTCTTGTCTGCTTGCCTTGTGTACAGACACATGCTTGTTCCTATGCAGGTATATATGTCCGTCCAATATCTGTATGTATACATATGTATGTTCTGGGAGGCATGTGTACCCCTGCAGTTGGCTCCTCAGTGGAAAGCAGTTGCCTTCCCTCAGAGTGCTGGGGCTGTGTCATGCACACTTGCTGAAGACCCTATTTTTCATAACAGAATCAGAATCTCAAGTTGACTTCTGTCCTTTCTGGGGCAGCAGGGGCCTGTTGTGCTTATTCAGCACAAAGTTCTGATGGATGACCAAGGAGGTCGTGATTTGGGGAGCTGTTTTCATTTTATTCCTGACATGAAGTATTTGGGAGAACGGAAAACACCTCTCCAATCACAGCCCTTGCCTTCGAGATAGGGCACAGGCAGACTGGGTATTCTTGGCTGACACAAACACAAAGCCAGCCAGGAACTAGCCGGCTGCCTGTGTCACCAGGGTCTGACTTGGTACCTAGCAGGCCTGGACACTTGAAGCCAAGTTCTTTCCAGCTCTTGCTCCTGATGCCACAGTGTCTCTGCGACTGCACTTTGCCTTTGTTGATTCAAATCTGTCTTTCCTCTGTGTTTGCATTGCTCTATGGAAAGAAAGATGCTGCCATTTGTGAGAAATGGTAATAGTTACAGTGGGCTTTTTCAGACACACAGGCACACGTGTGTGTGTGTGTGTGTGTGTGTGTGTGTGTGTGTGTGTGCGTGAACATTTAATGGACCTGTGACAGCTAGGATTTACTCATTTCCCGAATTTTAAAGAAATATCTATCTTTGTCAAATGTTGGCCATCGAATCGCACCATTGTTGATAGAGCGAGCACTGTAGTAGACACCGAGAAGCTCAGGGCCCCCAGTGAGAAGCATCTGGAATGACCAGACCGTGACCCCCATGGCTGCTCTGGGAAACGAAGATCAAAGGAACACAGAAGCCTGTCCAGGAGGGCGCGTATGGCGACACAACCAGCCCTGCACATCAGAGAAACAGCTCAACATCCCGACAGTCACAATTGCTTAATTATGTCCTGGCTTTGTAATTATTCATCCCTGTTCTGGCAAAGAGCACAGTTGTCATTTCTTTGACATAATTATTTAAAACCGAGCCCTCTTGTTTACATGCATCTACACTAAGTTGGCTGCCGCCTGTTTAATCTTTAGAACCGTAGAGGGACCACGGGGGGCCTAGACACAGGGCACACTGTCTGAGCATCATGGAAAGCATTTAGGTCCATATGATTTTACTTGTTTCTCTGGTCATTTCCTTACAGTGAAAGTGTGGTTAATATAAATGTTTGAATCTTGATGTGAACCAGTATTCTACATTCCTTTTGTAGCATGGCTGGTTCCCAGTGTGTGTGATGTGTATCTGGTATATGAGTAAACTTTTGCCTACTTTGTGACTATTGTGTCTTCAGATATTCAGAGAGGTGAGGTGGGAGGAGAGGAGAGGAAAGAAAAAGGGGGAGAAAGAGAGGGAGAGACAAGAAATTCGCAAAGGAATAAATTTCAATGCACCTACTGAAATATGTTCAATTCTTATCCTAAACTACACATTGACTGTTCCTTGTGACCAAGAATTCCCTGGTCCTATGACCACTCTATACAGTCCCAATCTCGACATTTCTGGTCAGGTAAAAATTCTCCTATGTAAAGTCAGTTTGTTTTTCTTCTTGTCTTTAGGCGTTTCTATGGGAAAGACAATGTACGGTAAAGACAGGAAGTGGAATTAAGAGAATACAGTTTTTGTTGGTGAGGAAACCACCCATTTCCAGGTTACTAGCTCCCTGAAGCTGTGAAGTGGGCCTGTGTTCTTCCGTCTTGCAGCACAGAGGCTTGGCCTATAGCAGGGACTCAGCCAGCCCTTATAAAGTCAGGAACCACAGGCAGCAAAGCCTTTCAAGAGAGTCATTCTGCGGCCCAAGTGTGACCATCAGATGCAGAAAAGACTCTTGCCTTAGGTGGTGAGTTTCCAGATCTACCCAGAGCTGATGTGAAGACCTGTGGTGGTCATGCTGTCTGTCCCCCCGCTGTCCCATTGAGCAGCACTTCTAGGAGAAGCATGGGTGTGGTCTGTAACTCTATAGCCCATTCTTGAATGTGTTCCCCAACTTTCCCTCCTGTCGGAACACACCTCCTTGTAGCAGGGCTTTGGAAACTAAGCAGTAGCTTTTCTCAGAAGTATGTGCGGGCCACACAAATCTACAGGAAACTGAACAGTGATCTCTCCTTGCTGTGACTGCTGCCATGGTGGCTAGCTGCACTTTAATGGAACCCTGCTGA